AATATATGATATACATGTATGAAAAATGCCATCATGAAACTCATTGCTACATATAAATAATATATGCTATTAAATAGCTTTAGAATTGATTCCTTTGATGAGCAATGTAAAAGAGGGAAGTTCATGCCAAAGTCACTTCAAGGGATTCCATCTATGTACAGTCAGGTGCAGATGTAATTTTGAAGAACTTTGTGGGAAATTATTTTAATTTTGTAAAACTCTGCATAATCTCTAGGTAGGTGGCAGAATTGTCTTTAAGGTCATAAGGACAGGAGAGCTGCTCCTGGCTGCTACCAGCTGCAACACTCAGGAGAGCAGGCTCTGCACCTTACCTGGGCATCAAAAGAGGGCCAGTTCTCTTGGTAGAGGTGTGGGTGAGTCAGCCCTAAAGTTGTAAGCATGGGAGAGCTGTCCCCATTAGTTATCTGTCATGTGTCAGCATGGATGGGAGAAAGATGTCCTGGAGCTGATCCTGAAGGCGTAAGTGTGGGAGATAGGGCTCTGAGGATGTGAAAGTAGAAATTGTCCTACTCTTTGCTCATCACCTCAAAGAGTCAACTCACAAAACATTGTAGGAGAGCTCATCCTAGTTGGGAGGATAAGGGAGAGCTGGCGGGCTGACCAGCTCTACAGTTGTTCAAGCCCAAAGCCAGTGCTATGTGTTGGCCCACCCTGACATTCACCCCGTTTGTGATCTGCTGGAGTATGTGAAGAGATCAATTCTGCAGACCCAAACTTGTAGAAATTCCACAACACAGGGCAACAGCAGGATAAACAAGAGGAGTTTCACTGAGGGCCCATCATCGATAGTGTAGCAGAAACCAGAGGCCTGAAACCAAACCAATATCTCTCTGCAATGAACATTTGCAAGTAAAGATATATGGACAAAAGAGTTTACTGCATGACTCACTATATCACACTACAGCTTCCATGACCATATTGTTTTTCTCCTTTTTTCTTAAATTTAATTGGGGGCGGGGAGCGGTGCTGCAAGGGCAGAGAGCAGATATACAGGGATGGGAAGTGAATGGGGGATTGAAATGCATGATGTGAAAGACACAAAGAATAAATAAAAAGAAAGATAAAAAACTCTGCATAAATCCTGAGATTTCATATTTCAAAGGTAAATACTGAGGTTTATACCACAGAGAAAACTGCATAAAAATGGGCATCACATAAAGCTGCAAAATATTCAATTATTCAAAATTTACCATTAAAATTCAGTATTTCATAGTTCATGGATTTCTTTGTCTCCAAAGCTAAAAGTTTAGCTGAGGGAGCAAAGCAAGTAGAGAAGGTTAGTATGAAGTCTGATAGGCTCAGTGCTTGAGAGTCATCCCTCCTCTTTCTCAAGATGTTTCCAGTCTCAGCTCCATGCTAATTCTGTGGGATCTTGCGTCACCATCTGTACAACAATGGTACTGCACCCACATCACTGACACCCACCAATACACCTACCCACACATATACACAACAGCATTTATATAAGGATAACAAAACTAAAACATTGATTTTCATAAAAGTGGAAAATATGTTATGTTTCTACTCACCCAAGGTATGAACGTCTTTATTTAGGACAAATATCTGTAAAACAAGAATGCATGCTGTTTAGACTTTTTCAATATTTGTAAGGATTATAACTTTAAAAACATTTGTGAATATTAAATTTGAATCAAATATAATGTTTTAAAATTTTCTGCTTTATTATTTTTTAGTTTTAAGTATCAGGGGATACCTAGTGTCCCCTCTATGGCCATTTCTTTACCTTTCTCAAACATGTATCTGATGTTTTCTTTTGGAAAGCGTGTCTTGTCACATAGCTCTGCAAATTTCTGCTGCTCTTCTTCACTCAAACTATCTCCTTTTCCTTCATCATGTGGAAAAAAGAAGAGAAGCATATGGAACTTCTTCAGAGTGGAATGCATCCCCTGTGCTGTACTACTGTGTGTCCCAACTTGTCCATCCTCCCAACTCCCAGCTCTGTCTTTCATGGTGATTTGACAGACTTGACAAGTACTCAAATTTTATTTCATGAGTCACAATAGTGAGTACTTCAGGAACTTTGCTTCATGCGCTGTTTATTCCACACAGTGGTTCTCCCTCTCTCTCTTTCTCTCTCTCTCTCTCTCTCTCTCTCTCTCTCTCTCTATATATATATATATATATATATATATATATTGAACTATATACTAGTTCAATACCTATTTTCTAATTTGATGGGGTTTCTTATTTTGTTGGATCACCAGCTTGTATACGTTTAATTTAATGAAACCCTTCTAATGGCAGGCCCTGGTGGATATAAATTTTTATTTTTAATAAAGAAATCTTTCCACACCCTTGATTTGGTGAGGGGAATAAACCACCTATGTGGATATATCTATGAATCAATTCATTTTATGGAAATAATGTATGCATATGCTTCTCTGTTTAATTAAAAGCAGATACGACGTTGCTATGTTCTGTATTGTAGAAAAAGACCCACAAGGATCCGAAAAGATTGTCTGGTGGGAACACTGGCTGTTCTTCAGGGGACCTGGGCTTGATACCCAGAACCAACATAGTGGCTCACAACTATCTGTAACTCCAGTTCCAGGGGATCTGATGCCCTTTTCTGGCCTGTATGGGCACCAGGCTCACACATGGTATACAGTCATATACGCAGACACAGTAAAATAATAATGATAATATCAATAATAATTAAAAGAGTCATGATACTTACCAACCAAAAATAACACAGTATTCAAATTCTCCTCAGTGTCAAAATAGTAATTAAAAATGATCATGATTGCACTTGATATATACAGAATCCTGAACCGATGTTTACCTGCATCTGTGGTGTGAAAATGTTGGTGTCAAAATTCAAACATTTTAACAATATTTCATTTAATTTGACAAGGTTCAATTCAAGGACCACACAATTCATTAACAATCTCCTCAGTATGTTAAAATCAGGTAGTCAGTCTCATTTAAGTTAAAATAGATTATTTTTTTCAGGCTGAGATGAGAATAATACATTGTACATTTTCTCCACAAATTAAATCACTTAAACTCCTGGCCATTTCTTTCTATACAACTGATGATAGCAGGTTATTGTCAAACATTGCAAAATTATTACAAATGAAAACTATACACTTTGTTCTCATTGGCATTGAAGTTTAAATTAAGTATACTTTGGTAAATATTTTAATTTCAATCTGTTATTATCATCAATACCATTCTTTTCTTTTGTACTTCAGCTAATCAGAATACACACATTGCATTTTTATTAAATGTCTTTTTGTTTTAGTGATTAGATTTTTAAAAATCTTTATTTAAAAGTTCTTTTTTTTCATTTTACAAACCAACCACAGTTCCCCATCTCTCCCCTCCTCTCGCTCCCCTCCATCTTCCCCCCACCCAACTCCCAATCCACTCCTCAGGAATAAGGCTTCCCATGGGGAGTCAACAAAATCTGTCACATCACTTGAGGCAGGACCAAGACCTCCCCCTACATGTATTGAGGCTGAGCAATGTATTCCTAATAAATGTCTTCTTACAACTAGAATGCACTTATTAAAGTCTGTTATTACATGTCTTTTTAAACACTTGAATACTTTATCCTTTTTAAAGATTGATTTTATTTTCTTTTTTTTCTGTAGCACAATTCAAGTTTATTCCATTTGTTCTTGCAACACGAAACTTAAACACAGTATTAATTAGCATTCGGATGTACATGAACTAGGATACTTATGAAAAACCCAACTGTGTCAAAGGAATGACATTGTGTAACCATGATATACCAAAAATGCACAAAGCACTAGTCTTCCTCCATACTGCTTAGAAAGATTGATTGTTTCTCCATTTACAAAATAGAATCAGGACAATTTAAATTTTTGAATTTTGCATGCAAAACACTGCAATTGCTTATTTATGTAGGAGGGCACTCTTACCAGCTTCTTCTATACACAACCAAGTATACAATATTACATGAAGAAAACAGCCGCTGAGCTGAAGTTAAAAAAAATCAAGTACACATAATTTGAAGCTCTGTTACCGGGGAAAAGAAATGACTAGAAGGCTACTTGTTTGAGCTTCCACATGCTGCAGTTACTCCTTTCTTTGTGTGCAGCTGCTTCTAGACGGTGAGCTGGGATATGCAAGTGCTGTATTAGAACTCAAATCTATAGATGCCGGCATGAAGCTGTGGGGGTTTGTTAGTACGCTAACCACCAATAGGCAAATGATCTGTTTTTATTTGATACAGTGCATATGAATTGGATTTGATATAAAACTATAGAACATGCAGATTTTTTTTCTAGATGTTAAATAGTACTTCAGTGGAGGACAAAGCTTAACCTTTTATTAATGCGTGTAGTACCAAAAGCAGACATTTTAGCTTCCTTTATTCAAAAATATTAACATTAAGTGTCATGAATTTCTCTGCCAAGTGGTTCAGAAATACATTATAAATAACCTAGTTTTTTTTATTTTTTATTTTTTTTAAAGAAACTGTAAACCATCCTGGTCAGTCTATCCTAGTCTAGTTTATATGCTATTTTCTCAAGCAATAACTTCATAGCTATGGTTTACAAAATGGCCAACAAAGGGGGGGAGGCAAAACAGCCTCAACTGCATTACAAGGAACACCAGGATAAACTGTACAAAGAATCCTATGGTTTCAGTACCATAATGACCGTAGAAAGCAGACCCAAGGTTAGGAATGATAAGACAATATATTCTCTGCAATAGCCAACTCTAACAAAACACTCTGAAAGAAAAGCCGAAAATTGTGTAAATGGTTAAAATTCAAGCCTTTAAAATAGCAGTATGCCAGGAGGTGAAAAACCAAGGTCTCAAAAATACCCTGTTCTGTTACATTGATATTACAGACTGATGAGTGTCCTCCACTATCAGGATGTCCAACTCTAAGCTTTGTGGCCTTTTGGCTAAGATCAAGTGTAGGATGTCCAACTCTAGTAGGTTGCATTAAGACAGCAGAGTTAGCCAAATACACCAAAATATTTAAACTACTGTTTCGTGATTGTTTTCTTGGACATAGAAAAATTACAGGGTCAGGCTAGTTGAAAGTGAAAAAGCCACAGGATAAAAAAGAGTTCATGGGAGAATACACACACACACACACACACACACACACACACACACACACACCAACCAATCATCAACTGATCAAAAGTTATTTAGCCAGGCTGACTGTTTGTGGTAATAGTTTAACCCTACTATAGAATGCTACATTGCCCTAAAAAGTCATTATTAGTTTTTTAATTATCCATAATCTAAATATAAGCCCCTATCCCACCCACCCTTTAAAAATTTGAGGTACATTCAATTATTGCATGACTTGGCTAAGGAAAGATTGTAATAGTTTTTGTAAGCCTGTATGGATGGCAAGTCAAAGAAATCCTAATACTTTAAATGTAGGATATCAAATTTAAGGTATATTTTAATCATTTTATTGTTCATGAATTAAAATTTAGAGATAAGTCTAAATTTTCTGCAGGTCCTAAGAACACCATTTTAGGGCACTGTATTCTAAGAACACAGACTGTATTGTGAAGTTGTCACATGTATGCAATGCATGATTGTTAAGAGAAACAAAAACACTACAGAGGTGAAGCGGTGTTGGCCCAGCAAGAGTCAATCAACAGCTCAGGGAAACCTGGTAACGAGCACATTTTTGAAGGGATGAGTTTCCATCTATCCAAATAGTGCATCTCACCCCAGTGATAGCTTTGGTGCACTAAAGAAAAAAATCAGCATCCATGGTGGGTTTCAGAGAGGCATCCCAAAGAATATTCTTCATTCTCCAAACACAACTAAGGCTGATTCACTCAAACAGCAAATGAAGACAATCCGTAAGTACTAAGACAACTGTTCTCTCTTTATAAGATACTAACACGTTTATGGCTATGATTTTATTTTTAAATCTCCTTTTACTACCAGCAGGAGTCTCAAAGTGTTTCAATGTTATATAAATGTCTAAGTCTAAAGGAGAAAAGAAAAGAAATAAGCATACTGGAATGATTCCTCCTTTAGGCTCCTAGAATTTAACATTTTATAAATAAAACTAGTCAGTTTTATCTAACGAGACATAAAGTTGATGTGAAAGGGGAGAGAAAATCCAAAGCTTAGTCATCCAGCAATTTAGGGGTGCGCCACTTATCTGAGCTTTCACAGAAATATTAAGGTCATTCAAGATTTTGGTCACTAACCACAGCAGCGCTCTTACCTAGCCAGAAACCCCCAGGAGAGTGCATTCTTAAGGCAGAAGGCTGTAGCTAATTGCTTATCTCAGCACCCTAAGTTGACATAACAGCAGCCACTACTTGCTCACAGCTAGGGCTGCCTAATAAGTAGAGTTGGCCTTGTACGATCAGACCTTCAACACACTAATTAGTAAATTAGCTAGGGAGCTGAGAAGGTCCAATGATCCCCACACACTGTATTTTTGCTCTCCCTTGAGTATAAGCTGTATATTTTACTAGAAATGGAAAAGAGGCTGGTTTGATCAGGAATCCCAGTAAAAGCCCGATCATATTCCCCACTGCTCCTCCAAGACATGTTTTCCCCCCTTGGTAATCTGATTTGTTATGAATTTCTCTCTCCTCTCACCCTCTTAAAGTATTTAGCTGAAGAAGTTGGCAGATAGAAAGTGACAGACAGACAGGCAGCAGTGTGAGGCCACAGGAGAGTCATTCTTCTCAAGTTATCAGTCCATCCATCCATTACTGGAGAAGAGCTTTGATTGCCTGGTTGTCAGTGGCTTCAAGGGCAGTCAGTCCATCTGGGCCTTTCACAGTCTTATCAGCACCCTTTGACAGAAGCAATTTCACACAGGAAACATGACCCTCATAGACAGCAGACAGAAGAGGGGTAATATGATGTTTATCTGGAGCATTAATATCTGCTCCTTTCAGCAGCAGAAATTCCAGTATTTCCAGCTGTCCACAATCTGCTGCATAATGAAGAGGCTTCCTTCCACCTTCTAGTGTCCGGTTGACATCTTCTCCCTTGGCCACATAGTACTTCACCTCGTCCAAGTCTCCGTTCTTCAGGGCCCACATGAACTCCTTGTCGCACATCACTGCAGCGGGCTGGGCCGGCAGGCCGGGCACAAGTGGTGGGTACGCCCAACAAGGGGACACGAGGAAACGATGCGCCTCGGGCCGCCCTGATTTTATTTTCATTTATGTGTACATGTCTATCTGTGTTTTTGTGCATGCTACCAGGGTTCTCTCAGCATCCAGAAAAATAGCCTGCGTTACAGATGGTTGCGCACCATCAAATGTGGGTGCTGGGATCAGAGTTTGGGACTTCTGGAAGAGCAGCATGCTCCCTTAACTGCTGACCATCACTCTTGACAAACGTGATTATTTTCTGACTAGTCAAAGTAATATTTATAATGTAAGTGATATTTAAAGTATTCTACATAAAAGATATTCTCAGCTGTTCCACATATGAACATCTCACATTGCAATCTTAGAGGTTTTTTTGCAATTTAATGTGATATGTCTGATGAGATCATGTGACTTCTTCAACGGCCCAGGTGCAGGTGTAAGGCCTAGTGGGAGACTGGAAGAAGAGATTCTTTCAGGCTCCAGTTGTGGGATGATGCCAGCACCAAGGAATTAAAATTTTCCAGAAAGGTCACATACTCACAAGTAAAAGTAAAATTCCTTAAGTACACTTTTTGTGCTTTGATTTCAAACTTTTCACATTCTTCATCCACCCTAAAAGACAAAGGGACAAATGTCATGTAATGTAGTCCTGTGTGGTCTGAATAATGCAATGATAGACATCTTCACTTTCAGATCACAGGACACTGGCACACTGTTGCCATAGAAACCATGAAGATTGACTTGGTCAATGAGGATGTGTCATCTTCAACTGGTTCAGGCAAAGACACTGAATTCATCATTATGGGTTTTTGTTGTTTTGGGTTTGTATGTGTGTGTGTGTGTGTGTGTGTGTGTCTGTGTGTGTGTGTGTCTGTGTCTGTGTGTGTGTGTGTGTTTCTTGTTTTTTGACACAGGGTTTCTCTGTGTAGTCCTGACTGTCCTGGAACTCATTCTGTAGACCAGGCTGGTCTCGAACTCACAGATTTGTCTGCCTATGCCTCTGCCTCCCAAGTGCTGGGATTAAAGCTGTATGCCACCACTACCCATCTGATTTCATCATTGTTTAATGCATACTTTGATTTCTGCTAATTCAACTTGCATTCACTCAGCAAGAAAATGTATATAGACATCAATGATTAGAGGTACAAATAAATGGACATACAATGTCTATGATGGGGGATGTACAGATAATTGTATTCACATATCAGATACAGATCTGAGAAACACAAAACCATCACTGATATCTGAAACCTACAATTCATGTGTGTCTGCTGTTATTGGGTTGTAATGGTATATTTTAACTTATTTTTCTATTTAGATTTTTAGTTTTTCCATCTTAAATACTGAACACCTTGAAAGAAGCAAGGAATGGACTATTAAAGTCTCCATCTAGATTCCAATTACATTTGTAAAAAGGGAAACTTACTCACTTTATATGTATTATTCAATGACTAATATTTTCAGGAAATTCTTCTTGTTTCACAGTTTCTAACCTTCTATTATTTGAGAACAAGTGATTGCACAGAAAATGAATAATATCACTGTTTCCCCTTCATACTAAATCCATCCTACTTTCTCTGTTGATAAATATGAAAAAACATTTACAACATGTTAAAATTTTCAGGATTAACTTTTAATTGACACTTCCAATTAGGTTATTTAAACTAATCTAGATCCATGTTGCACATTACAGCCAAAATTTCTTGAAGTCACAATGAGTTTTAATGTAATTTTATGTTTCTTTACCCTAGTCCTACTTTTATTCTGATATATGATTTTATTTTACTTTTTTTATATCTCACTTTAACATTTTTCATAATCCCATACATGTATACAATAAAATATGATCTTTCCTAACTCCTCCCATTTCTGCCCTCTAATTATTTTCTATGACCTGAACTTACCCCTACCTAAGCTCATATATTTCCAGTCACTGCTGCACGTATGAAAATTCCATACATGCAAGAATGTGCTTGGATCCTTTCTTTGTCCAGTATAGTCCTCGTAAGTCCCTTGCCCACATTCTCCTCTCAGCTGTTCTTTCTTTCTTATTGTTTTTGCTTTTTCTTTTTTAAATAAACTGTTAACTCCAGTTGCTGTTGAACATATGAATGTAGGACCCACCAGTAACTACATTCTTTTTTTTATTTATTTATTAAAAATTTCCACCTCCTCCCTGCCTCCTTTTTCCCTCCCCCTCCCCACCTTCCCCTCCCTCTCTAGTCCTAAGAGCAGTCAGGTTTCCCTGACCCATGGGAAGTCCAAGGTCCTCCCCCCTCCATCCAGGTCTATAAAGGTGAGCATCCAAGCAAACCAGGCTCCCACAAAGTCAGTCCATGCAGTAGAATCAAAACCCAGTGCCATTGTCCTTGGCTTCCCAGTCAGCCTTCAGGAGCAGAAGGAGGGAGAACATGAGCAAGGAAGTCAGGACCACGAGGGGTGCATCCATCCACTGAGATGGTGGGACTGATCTAATGGGAGCTCACCAAGGTCAGCTGGACTGGGAGTGATGGAGCATGTGATCAAACAGTGACTACATTCTTAAAGAAATGTGACTATTCCTCCCCCAGGAGCCATCAACTGTCAATCACTCCAGCTAGGAGTAGGCCCTTGTGAGATTCTTCTACACAACATCTGAAATGGTGACTCTTTTGGTCATGTGCTACTTTAATGATGCAAATGTTAGTTTTCTTTCTGAAATACTTCCCAATTCCGTGACTGGAATTCATCATTAATTATATTTGAAACAAATTTCTAGAACCTTGATGTACCTAAAACTTATCTTTTAGTTTTATTGAAAGTAGATTTTTTCATACTTTCTATTCTGATTAGTACCAATCGCTACAACTCCTCTCAGATCCTCTCAACCTCCTTAGCACCCAAATCCACACCACTTCTTTCTCTCTCTTATTAGAAAATGAACAGGCATATTAAGAAGAAAGAAAAATATTAAAATAAAAGCAAACCAGAATAGAACAAAACAAAAAAACAAAAGGAAAATTTAAAAAAAAAAGCCAAAGAAAAAGCACAAGAAACAGATGCAACAACCTGTACCTACACTTTCACCTACACGGAAATTCCATAAAACACAAACCTATAACAAACAATTATGCACAATATAAATACAATTAGAATACAAACTATAATATGTGGCATATAATTATTGTTATATAGTGACATATATCATCACACAAAAACAGCGTTATATATAAATTTAAAAAGTACATTGTCCACTAAGCAATCTTTCTAGCCTTGTGTAGTTATTTTATTATAATTGCAACATATTTAATGTAGTAAACACTATAATATATGATATAATCAATGTAAAATATGTGATATAAAAATACAATATTGTAGAAATGTACATTATGCATATGTTTTTAATACACAATGTGTACGACCATAAATTATATTGTAATCATATATACTACAATGGATATGCAATATGACATGCATTCTATCTAGTATAAATATAAGATACATGCTGTTTTAAATAATTTAAATATATATGTAACATGCACATATACATTTAAAATAGTCATATCAAATTATATTTTATTTGGAACGTCAACCAGTATCTTAGTAATATTTACTGTTTCATAAATATTTATGTATTGTGGTGAGTGGCAATGTAATTCACCTGTCAAGCTAGTGTCTAACCCTTTAGATTGCAGTAAGGTTAGCTTACTCGCCATAGAACGTCAGGATGATCTCCTGACATCCCATAATACACTCAAGGTGGCGGAAAAAGAGTTTCAGCAGTCCATCATCAGTGATAATGTCAATCTCTGTGGCTGTTATGGCAATAGTGTGCCAATCACCTGAGATCTGAAAATAAAGACACTATTAGAAAATCAATGGATCTTTTCTCTCATCTCCAACAAATATGTTAACTCTAGTGGGGGAAAATGTCTGATTTTATTGAATTGCCCAAAATTCTGTTCTTTAAAATTTATGTTCTGTTTTTTTTCTGTTGTTAGAGAAAGAATATGAATTATGGTGAGTAGGGAGGTAGGGAAAGATTATGAATTATGGTGAGTAGGGAGGTAGGGAAAGGTGTTGGTGGAGGAGAATGAATATAAACAAAACACATTGTAGAATAACTTTAAATTTTGATAAATACAACAGAAAATATCCTATTTACTATATATTGCAATTTATAGTAAATAATAAAATTTATAAATATGTAGTAAAATTTCTATTCCCTAGACTGCACAAACATAAAGTAACATAAGTATTCAAATCCACTTCTAAGCCATGATGGTAAAAATTTTTTGACATGTTTAAGACTGAGCCAACAAATATCATGGAAAACTGAAGATTTTATTTAGCATCTTGATTTTTATCATGTAGAATCTGATTTTAATGGAAATTAGAAAATATGGAATTGACAGAAAGAATTTTTTTCAATACAAACATATGGGTATGGATCAACATTTTACATAATCCAATATATGCATGTAAATCTGTATGAGAAAAACAGGGAGAAATGAATATAGGTGATAAAATTGCCTACATATAACAATATAATAATATATGTGTGCTATTAATACAATGGCAAGTAATAAGTAATATTTTATATTGCAATTATATGTAAAACAACGGGCATATAATATGACAAACATTGTATCTGATATATTTAATAATGTTTATAAATACATTTTGCATAATATATTATATAATTTATATGTATATTATAAGAGAAACTCTAAAATAAAATATTAATTAAATATTAAATCATAGAAAAGCAAGTATTAAATTATATTTAATTTAGATTGTTGCATATTCCTTAACTTGTTCCCCTAATGATTGGTTTCTGCAATACATAAGCATTTAGTAACTATTGAGATGTTGTTCAACATTTAAAATAAAGCAACAATGTAATAAGACTTTTTATTTATAATAATCTTATTATTTCATGGTACCTGAGTTGCATTGAGCTGTCCATTAGACCTGCTTCTAGAGCAAATCCAAGCATATGTAAGAGCCAGCAGCAGAGCCTTCATTTTAGCGTCTTCTGTTTTCTGACAATGCTTAGGAAATGAAGTTTAATTCTGTAATCTTGTTTGTAGTATATACAATGAAGAAATCGTCTTTTATTACAAGATATGGATAATCTAGAAATTTCCTGGTTGGAGTCACTTGGCTCTGTGAGATGATCTGTTATTTTATTGATAAGATTGTTTTTGAGTGGTACTCGCTCCAGTGCACAACTGACCTTTATGGGAGTAAAGAGAGCACAAAACATGTTTTGTTTCATGCATCACAAATATTTAGTCGGAAGTCCCAATTATTGAAAAGGGGGAATATGCATAAAATATCTTTCTAAGCACTTGAGTACGTGAGTATTTGTTCTGAATATTATTGGAAATAAATATTTTCCGAGGATTATATATATATTTTATATGTATTTCTTCAAGATCTATGTTGCAGGTTTAAAGCTGATTTCTCAAAATAAATTTATTACCTTGTCGTCAAATAAAATATAAACATAGTATCTTTGATCAAGAGATATGAGCACTCTCAACTACATTAGAGAAATTAGAAAAATAAAGCATGAAAATTCTGCTGAAATTATTTTCTCTCAGACAGTCTCCAGCACTGACTGTGAAAACCTTATTAACTGCTTATTCTTTTGAACTGTTAATTCAAGGTCAAAATGAAAGAAGGAAGAAAGAAAGAAAGAAAGAAAGAAAGAAAGAAAGAAAGAAAAGAGAAAGAGAAATTTAATCAGCTATAACATTTGGCCTAAACATTGCAAAACAATTATATGAGTGATATTTACAGAGTTTAAACTTTAGTCATATAATTATTTAATTTGAACTAAAAATAAAAAGATCTGAGTACAATACTAATAGAATAAAATATGTTGATTTGGATATTTCACATACCATATTTCTACAGATATTAAAAATGTGAGATAATATTTTTATAAACAAAATCATTTTTCATATCCTTTCCCAAGCTCTCAAAGTCAGTGTTTTGATGTTAATGAAATACTGATGTTGTTTAGAATTTTCCACAATTTGAATGTTAGAGTTTGAGTCATTTAATAATTTTGGTTTTATCAATTCCAATTAAAATATTTAATTTTATGTGCTGTATCTTTTGCTTCCATGTAAATAGGAGCAGCATGTGCACATCTGGTGCCTGTAGAAGCAAGAAAAGGCATAGTTCCTGCAATTTGAGTTACAGATGTCTAGCACCAAACTCATTTATTTTAATAGGTACTTAAATGCTGCAGTTTGCATAACTCATTATTATTTATTATAGTGACAGGTCATATTTTAAGGTATTTTAACATAATTAAATATTAATGAACACTTATTTGTGGGTCTTCGGGTAGCAAACAAAATTGAACACCAGTATATTTTCTTACAAAAGTGTCTTTACAAAGTGTCTATCCCATAAGAATGGGATAATTTTCAATCTTGGGTTCTATTTTTAAAAAAGATTTCATTCAGTATTATTCACACATCTGTGCATCTGTGTATATGCACCAGGTGAGTATATTACCTCCGTTGGTCAGAAGAGGGCAATAGGTTCCCTTGCAGTACTTAAAGCTCTCAAATAACACCGTATTTAGGGGTGAAGCCTGCCTCAGACAAGTATTGTTTAAGAATTTGGTAGCATAGTATTTGAAAGTATTCCTGTATTATAAAATTTATTATTGTCTACGTAAATATATAGTGCCTGAAACCATCACTCACAGACACAATCTGTCTAGATACAGGAATAAAAAAATCAGAGTTTGTAAAACTCCATTGAACAGAGACAGTTATTAAATATTGTGAGTTTGCTTAGCTTTGAAACATGGTATCTCTATGTAGCCTGTCTATCTTGGAACTTGCTATGTAGACGAGGCTGGCCTCCAATCCTTAAATTGAGGTTCGTTCCAGGCATTAGCAATTTGAGAAGATGGTGTATTCAAGTCATAAGGACAAAAAGCTGAGGTGCCTACTTAACACACAAAAGCTGACCCAGACACCAGGTTCTCCCAGCATCCTCCAGCCGCTACCTGTTCTAGGGAATACCTGGCATATCCCATTCCTACCCTTCCCCCTTCCTTATATAATCCAGACATTTTGGTTACCTGGCCCCTTTTGTCTACTATTTACCCTCCTGGTGTCTTGGTCTCCTGGTGTGCTGACTTTCCCTTTTCCCCTTCCCCCTCTCCTCAAGTGTCCTGGCTCAGGGTCATATTCACTCTGGACTTTCCCAGATGTCCCTGCCTTTGGCTATACTCTCCCTCATATCTACAAAAAACCTCCTCCACCGTACCTAGGATCAGTCAATCATGTCCTCCTTTTTGATTTTTTCTTTTTCATTCACTAACAAAAAGGGAAATAGCGTGTCAATGAGTCATGCAAGAGTCCTGTTGAATCTATTTGCTTTAGTGACATTGCTCTGAGCACTTGTGGTGACTTAAAAAGTGTCATTCTAGGTGCCCAAGATTCTTGATGTTGATTCTTCTGTTCTTATCATCTGCATTACACCCTCATAACATTTGCCTGGACATCAGTTGCTTAATGTCTATCTCCATCACTCACTCATCCCCCAATGTGCCATTAGGGCTGAGCAGTGAGTGTTAATTCAGAACAAGCTAACAACAGTGTGTCAGCTGTTTGTACTGTGTGGGTGCAGATTATTTTCTATAATATAAAATACAGATATGAACTTTAATATAGAATATAGAAATGCTCCTATGCATCTCCTATAATTCTCCACTGCTTGTAATTCTCATATGCAGTGATGCAGTATTAGAAAAAGTTTTCTTTCATTCTAAGAGACATTTTTGTTGGGTCTCACACAGTTAATAATATAATTCAAGGTAGCATAAAAACCGAGTCTTTCTAAAATCATCATTGGCCCAGAAAGGAATATCAAAAAGCATTTTTAAGTGAATAAAAACAGTGGGTAGCTTTGAGTTTAATTACTCACCAACACCCCTCTCTGAATTTACTTATCTCAGTAGGAAACTTGTTAGGAAAAGGTAAGGGTTGAGTTTTACATTCAAAACATTTATAAGTCTAGCCAGAATTCATATTACCACAAGTCAATGAAAAGAGAAGGTATTCTTAAACTCTTAATTATCTGTCTTTTTGTAGGTTATTGTAGAGCATTAACAAAGCCCACAAAGGTCTTTGTAGATTTTTCTGTGTCAGAGGAAGAAGATTCTGAATGTGTTTTAAGATTAGGGACTTCTCTTTCTCCCTATCTCCCTGTCTCTCTGTCTCTGTCTCTGTCTCTGACTCTTCTCTCTCTGTCTCTCTTTTTCTTCTAAGCCCTTGTGTTAGTCTGTGAGTCTGTTGAGTGGCTCCATTGATTTATACATTAACCAACTGAGGGTCTACAGGTTCTCAGTTTTGATGACTTATTCAAGAAAGGTAATTAAACTGTTCTTTAAATTTCTCATATTTTGATAGCCAGCAAGCACCATGCCCATCATTTGCATATAAAGTTATTTCAAAGCTAGAGTGTTTTATATTTTATTATTTATTTTAAATTGTTTTTATTGAGCTATATATTTTTCTTCATTTCCCTCCCTTCCTCTCCCCTCCTATTCTACTTGCCAGAGTGTTTTTAGAGTGAAAACAGACATTTTAGCTATAGATGAAATTGCCAGTCAGCTTCAGGAGAGGAGGCAGAATCCTGCTAGCTGATGCAGTAGAAAGTGGCAAGACTGTTGAATTTTCTAATGAAGACAGGGCCCAGAATGAGAGGGTCCCAAAATAAAATAATCCCCATAGGCCCATTGTGAGTGGCACTATTAGGAGGTGTGGTCTTGTTGTAGTGTATGTGGCTCTCTATTAGAGCAAGT